GTGGTTACAATGGACGAAAGTACAATATTATTAAAAGAACTTGGTGAGTAGTTTTAAATTGTGTTACAAGACATCGTCACATAAGACTAAAAGTCTTCCCACACTGGGATACATACAGGGACCCCTGCATTGTCCTTATTATGTAATTTGCAAAGTAAACGTTCATATGGAGCTGTTTTAGTCATAATATTGGCCCATTCTTTTAACTCTGGAATTTTGGGAGTTTTCCAGTGTTTTAAGGTTACTCTAGCTATCACTGAGATCCCCACCAAGATGACTGTGAACTCTCCTTTCTATCTCCCAGTAAGCATAACCTTGGTGACAGTGGTATTATTGTTTCAAGCCATTTACTCAGAATATTTAGTGTTTGGTCCCAAAAAGGCTGAACTAGTGAACAGTCTCAAAAACAATGAATAAATATACCTCTCTCTTTTTGACGTTTCCAACAAACATTATTATTTAAGTTATCTTACTTTAAAAATTTCTAAGAAAAATAAAACATATTTGGAGATTTTTTTTACTTACCTTAGCCTCATACCTAATATATAAACATCAAAGAACAATTTAACTTGCTGAATAAATGGACTTGATTTCATGTCTATAATGCTTCCTTATGTTCCCTTTGTTTCCATCACGCTCAATATCAGCCCCTATACACTCGATCACTATTCCCTATTAGGCCACTCGAACAAGTGAATGAGGGCGAGGCAGTGGCGCAGTATGTAGTGCTGTCGCCTCACAGCAAGAAGGTCGCTGGGTCGCAGGATCGAACATTGGCTCAGTTGACGTTTCTGTGTGGAGTTTGCATGTTCTCCCTAGAGCTAAATTAGTAGGCTAAATTGTCCGTAGTGTAAGAGTGTGTGTGTGTGAATGTGTGTGTGGATGTTTCCCAGAGATGAGTTGGGGCTGGAAGGGCATCGGCTGTGTAAAAATTTGCTGGATAAGTTGGCGGTTCATTCCGCTGTGGCGACTCCGGATTAATAAAGGGACTAAGCCGACAAGAAAATGAATGAATGAATGAATGAACAAGTGAATGAAAACTACTGGGTGATTTCTGATTGTGTCACTTTTGTGTAGGTTGTACTTGCTGTTTAATAATCATTAGAAACTTAGTGAGCTAGAAGTTCGCAGTAACTAGTAAATGTAAATGTATCTTTAATATATCAATTAATTAAAAAGAAAATACTCCCTGTATGATATTACGTTGGACTGGCTGTATGGATTTTGGAAAACTATGCTGAATTAATTCAACATGACCCTCGCCGTTCATTTAAGCGTAATCTCAAAACGTGCATTGGTTGTACACTTGTTTATGTGATGCGTTGTGGGATTGAATGAGTGAACACAATAACATCCACATATACAGGGTGAAGGAATTGTAATAGGCAATATTTAATGACTATAGAATTTGCAGTATCACTGGAGTCATAATCAAAACAGATGATAGTAAATAGGATTTCATGTTTCTTGCTTCAGTAGCACAGGCATTGGCCATGAATAGCATAATTAGAAATATTAACCTTATTTCCAATTTTTAAGCTAGTTATTTTTCTCCCATCGACAGTTTCAGACACTACTAAAAATGTCTGCCACCACAAATAGGACTATATTTAAGGAAACCTGTGTTTTATGTTTTGCTGTGTTTACTTGTCTTCTTGCCACTCATTTTGTTTCCATGGTAACTGACTATGTGTCACACCTGGGTCTAATTGAGTTACTTGTCTCTTTAATTTAATGCTTTTAAATTAAACTTTAATTGCATTTAATGTTTTGTTCTTTGACTTGATTATATTGGGTTGCATTGATTTTTCTGTGATCTCTGCGACATAGTGTTCTTTTAGTTTGGGTCTGATTAGGTAAAGATTGACTGCTGTGACAGATTCTGCAATACTGCAGCCATATAGTACTCGTGACTTGCAGGAAATGCAGGAAATTTTTTAATACAAGTTCTGTGAAAACCTTTCTTTCTTAATTGCACATTAGTGAGTTTCATGAACTCATTCTTATCAATACACACATGACGGTTTGCCAAGGATTTAGATCAAAGGCATGTTGTAAATAATGTCCAGTTAATTTCACAGAGAGATTGTTTTGCTATATAAGGCCTTAATGTATTGTGAGTAGGTGACGCAGTGGTGCAGTAGGTAGTGCTGTCGCCTCATAGCAAGAAGGTCACTGGTTTGAGCCTCGGCTGGGTCAGTTGGTGTTTCTGTGTGGAGTTTGCATGTTCTCCCTGTGTTCATGTGGGTTTCCTCCGGGTGCTCCGGTTTCCCCCACAGTCCAAACTCATGCGGTACAGGTGAATTGGGTAGGCTAAATTGTCCGTAGTTTTTGAGTGTGAATGAGTGTGTATGAATGTTTCCCAGGGATGGGTTGCAGCTGGAAGGGCATCCACTGCGTGAAAAATATGAGGATAAGTTGCCGGTTGATTCCGTTGTGGCGACCCCGGATTAATAAAGGGACTAAGCCATAAAGAAAATGAATGAGTGAATGAATTGTCAGTAGTCATAAGTATTAATTTAGTTTTGCCTCTATCTGTTGATTTGACTTTCTAAGGATCTTCTTTAATATTCTACAGAAAAATAATCATCTAAGATAGCTTGAGGGAGTACTTTAACAGCATGTTTTCATTTTTGGGTGAACTGTCTCTTTAAGCTTGATGAAATCCCTTCCCACAAGCAACCCGGAAATTTCACCTACACCCATGTCTAAGTTAAATCAATCTTCATGTCACAAGCCATGATAATTGGCTTTCTGCATTGGTAACCTTCTTATGTCCATCAATCATTCGTTTCCACCAATGTTTCCTTCTTTTGGCCTAACCATGAAAGTTCGAAGCACAGCAATTTCACATCTTCACCTCTGGTATTTTATATTGAAATGTCTTTTTTGAAATATAAGTTAAATACAGAGACTGTACACATGACTGTAGCACTCTTTATGCCTTACTTTGATCGATACTTTGCCATGGATAAATCAGAACATAGAGTACATGTATCCACTCAAAGAGAACGTAATGGCTTCTGATTTACGAGGAAAAAGCTTCTTTAAATCACACATCTTAAGTGCTTTACTTAATTTTATAGAATGAACCTGAAAATGGAATTACATTAATGGTCTACTATATATCAAACATACAGTAAGTCATTTTTGAAATTCCAGTATGTGGGCACAGGATAGAGAATAGATCTTGCAATATTTAAATCAACCACAAGCACTATTCTGCATCAGCAGTGGGGTTGGTTTATGTACCGCCACATTTAGTTTCTAATAAACACTCAAACACAAATATATTTGTTATTATACGTTCATTCATTCATTCATTCATTTTTTTGGCGCATTACCTTTATTAATCAGGGGTTGCCACAGTGGAATGAACCACCAACTTATCCTGCATGTGTTTTATGCAGCGGATGCCCTTCCAGCCACCTCAGCACTGAAACACACACACACACACACACACACACACACACACACACACACACACACTCACACATACACACACACACACACACACACACACACACACACACACACACACACACACACACACACACACACACACACTCATACACTACCAATTTAGTTTATTCAATTCATCTATAGTACATGTCTTTGGACTAAGGGGGAAACCGGAGCACCCAGAGGAAACCCACACGAACACAGGGAGAACATGCAAACTCCACACAGAAATACCAACTGACCCAGCTGAGGCTCGAACTCTTGCTGTGCGGCGACAGCACTACCCACTGTGCCACTGTGTCACCATTTTTGTTCATTTTAATTAATAGTAATAATCCAGGACTGGGTTGTGGCTGATAGGTCATCAACTGCATAAAACAAATGGGGACACACCAAGTGTACGAAATAGTTGGCGGTTCATTCTGCTGTGGTGACTCCTGATCTATAAGGGACCAAGCCGAATGAAAACTTAAAAACGAATGAATAAATTGCAAATGTAATGTCTTGCATTTAGTCTAGTAAAACTGTTTCACTGCTAATATGTACCTCTAAGTTAATTATATATTCAGAAATGAAACTGTAAGTCATGCATTATTCAAACTCGAAGTAAAACTATTATTGCAAAAATCTGAAAAAGTGGTCAAGTATTAACCTGCGTCCATGTGAATGAAATCAGCAGGTGTCTGCATAACTTCCCTTAATAAAATCTCCAGCAGCTTAAATGCTAATGTTAAGACTCACATATTTAAATTACATGAATTCCTTAAGTGCAGTCATCTAAATAAAAATTTTGGAAAAAGTTGACTTGTACATCACTATGGCAACAACTTTCTTATAAATAGCATTAAAATGTGTCCTGAACAAACTGACATTTCAGCCTTATAGAAAAAAACTCAAAGGCATTGTTCTTTTAAAAGCAACTGCTTTGACTAATGCACTTATACTTATCAAAGTGCAAGGAAAGAGTGCTTTATCATTATTTTTTTATATCTGTGCAAAAACGCCTGCAAAGTGCTTCGTTTTAGTTCTTTGTTTATTGTATTTTTATTAAAATTATTTTTAATTAAGCATTTGCTCTTTTGTACCTCTGCGACAAGCAGCTCGTATTAATTAGTTTGCACTTAGTTAGACTTGTTGTATTTCCCGATGGACAATACACGATGGGAATGATCTGTGAGAGACTGATGGAGAGTCTGTCTTACATCACATGATCATAAAATCTAGCGCGTAAAAGCGCAGCGCTCTGCCATTTACCTCCAACTGTCCGTTTCTATAGAGCAGAGAGGAAGACCCTAGACCTGCCAGGTACGATGAATCCTCAACATTTGTACTTTTTTGTTGATTTCAATCATTTGCTAATGATATAATCCGATAATGACCCATATAATTAGGCTTCGCTAGAAATCCTATGAGTTTGCACTTTTATTTAATCTAAAATAGATAGGTATAACTGTAATTTAAGTAAGTACATAATTAAGAGTGTATTTATTTAATCATTAAATAAATACACTTTAAATTATGTACTTACTTACATTTTAATGAGCAAACAAAAATATTGGATTTTGTGTAAAAACGCAGTAATGCATGCACTTTTCCATGTAATAAACTTTCATTTTTATCATTTTAAAAAGGCTATTATGGATTTCAAAGACACGATGGACAATGCAACAATGCAATCTTCATGCAACCTGGCCAGTCCGGTTTATAATCAGTCCAACTGCACCGTGTCTCCACCTTGGATGTTCCACCCAGATCTCTACATCTGGCTACCCGTGATTTACTCAATCATCTGCGCCGTGGGACTCACGGGCAACAGCGCCGTCATTTACGTGATCCTGAAGGCGCCTAAGATGAAAACAGTCACCAATTTATTCATTCTGAATTTGGCCATCGCCGACGACCTTTTCACACTAGTGCTGCCCATCAACATCGCCGAGCACCTGTTAAACTACTGGCCGTTTGGGGAGATTTTATGCAAAGTGATTTTGTCCATAGACCACTACAACATCTTCTCCAGCATCTTCTTCTTGACCGTGATGAGTGTGGACCGGTATCTGGTCGTGGTGTCCACTCTAGGATCCAAACGGATGCCCTACCGGACCTACCGGTTGGCCAAGACGGTCAGTCTGAGTGTTTGGGCTCTGGTCATTCTCGTAGTGATGCCCTTCACCGTTTTCGCCAGTGTTTACGTGAGTCCCGATGACGCGGAGAGCCGAAAGAGCTGCGTTTTGAGTTTCCCGAGTCCGGAGAGTTTCTGGTTCAAAGCCAGCCGGATTTACACGCTGGTCCTCGGGTTTGTCATCCCCGTCTCCACCATCTGCATCCTCTACACCGTGATGCTCTTCAGACTGAGACGGACGCGCCTCAGCTCAAACGGAAAGGCTCTGGACAAAGCCAAAAAGCGAGTCACTGTGATGGTCTTCATCGTGCTCGCCGTTTGCTTGTTCTGCTGGACTCCTTTTCATCTGAGCACGGTGGTCGCCCTCACTTCAGACTTGCCCACCACCCCGCTGGTTATAGGTATCTCTTATTTTATCACGGGACTGAGTTACGCCAACTCGTGTCTCAATCCGTTTCTTTACGCGTTCTTAGACGACAGTTTCAGGAGGGCGTTTAAAAAACTGTTGGAGTGCTGAAACCTTTTAAACTCTATCAAAGTCGATTGATAGACGTGTTGTTTGTACCTTAGTCAAAACGCACTTTAAAAGTCACTTTAAAACAATTACTTTTTTTATTAGCTTAGACTTTGGGAGGACTTTGATTTTAGCACACTTAATTTTTCTGTTTGAGTGTTTGTTTATTTTTTTGTTTAGTATATAATCAAGACATGTATAAACTTGTTTAAATAGTAAATATTTATGTACACGAATAGTTATGCGTAAATATATTATATCAACCTATATATGTCCTGTACTAATGTTTTAAAAATGTTTAGACCTGCTACAGTTTTAAAACGGTCGCATAAAATGCTGATGCCTGTCCTTGTGTTTAATGTTGGTGATAAATAAATGTGTATAAAAAGACATTTTTATAAGTTACTAAAAAAATTTTAATGAAATGGAAATAATTAGAAATGGCATGCTCCTTCCCTTTTGGTTCTGTTTTTACAAGCGAACAAGTTAAACGTTTTTTGTTCAGTAATATCAAACTATCACCAGAAGAGGGCAGAATAATATCATGTTGTAATAGAATTAACTCTAATCAGATGTTAACCCATTCAGTTAATTATGAAGATACTTCAAGACATGCATGTACCCAAATACTTTTTTCTGTTTGTGTTTGTATATTTATTAAATACTTATAATATTTTATTGTATTAATATTATACAAAATTGAATTAACTTTTTTAATGATTTAGTTCACTTCCATCAGTGACAAATTTGTTAAATTATGATTATTTTTTATTATTCGGTTAAAATACTGCTGAAATTCCATTGTACATATTGCTAATGCCATTTATATTTTTATATATAATTTTATTCATCAAAATTGAAAAAAAAAAAAAAAAACGGGAAGCAGCAAAATTTTTTTTGAGTCAGAATATATTCACACAGTTATTTTAAACTGAAAAAATATTTCACAATATTAGTGTATTTACTGAATTTCTGATAAAATAAATGCAACCAACAAACCTTTGTTTCCAAACTTGCATGTTTTAAATGATCATATGCTATTTAATAAATAATTATTAAGGTTGACAGCTTACCATGTGTTCTACTGATTTATTTTAAATTAGCTTCAGTTTATCAGCACAATAAAAGCAGACCAAATAGTAATTTCAATAATCTTCAAGACATGTGAAATAGCCTTTCTTTCTCTGACATATAGATTGCTGTAATGAGCGTGCATTTGTGTAATCATCGTGAATCATTTGAGTTATTGAGCATGTTGCAATTTCCCCCTGTTCTCGTTTTCTTAAATCCATAATGATTGTCGTGTTCTACGCAGAACTCTTAAGGACGTGCTTTTATTGAGCATTCAGGTCACCGGTATTGTGAATTTCATTATCTCAGACTTTCTAAGTGTTTCTATTAGCCATTACTCCTCATTGAATTGCACTGGAGGAGATTTAATCGCAGATTAACGATGATTCTGATACACTTGGGCAACATTGTGTTCTTCTAATCGCACACAGAATCTTATTTCAGAGGGAAGGATATTTGTTTGTTTCTTTTCTGAACCCAAATACCTTTTTTGTCTCATACACATACAGTCAGGTCCATAAGTATTGGGACATCGACACAATTCTAACATTTTCAGCTCTTTACGCCAACACAATGTATTTAACTGCGGACTGTCAGCTTTATTTTAAAGGTATTGGTACATCCAAATCAGATGAATTGTGTAGGAATTACAACAGTTTGCAAATGTGCCTTATGATTATTCTCTTCCATTAATTTTGGTCCTTTAACAAGTGGGAGGCGCATATGCAAATTGTTGTAATTCCTACAGTTAAAGCACATCTGGTTCGTTTAATTTCAAATCCATTTTTTATAGAACCAAAAATGTTAGAATTGTGTCAATGTCCCAATATTTATGGACCTGACTGTATATTGTTTATATTGTTTAAGAGGACACTCCATAAAAACACTTATTATATGGCCTCACCCTTCCCTTAAACCTAAGTTTTGACAATCAAAAGATCACATCAAGTTTGATTAAGCGTTTTGAATTATGAGGACATAAACCATGTCCTCGTAAACCACCCTAATGGAGTATCAACCAGTGTCATTATAAAATGATCATGACATGATATGGAATTTAGTGTTCTTGTAAACCACAAAAACTTGTTCTCACCCACTCAATAAATTAAGTTTGCTTTGTCCAAACTACTTATTTGAAATGAGTTAAACAACATAGTTGTGTTTTAGTGGGGGCAAATCAATTGTTTAATGTTCAGTTTACTTAATTATGTAAAAAACTAATAAGTTTGCAAATTGATTGTGTGGTACCCAGCTAACTTTATGAGGACTTCCCATAGGCAAAATGGTTTTCATACTGTACATACTGTATATTTTATCTCCCTACATCTAAACCCCACCCTCTCAGGAAACAATCTGCATTTCTACTCTCTGAAAAAGCATATTTCTATGTGATTTATGAGTCATTTTTCTCATGGGGACAAGGTCAAAATTTACTGGTATTGCTAGACTTATGGGGACATTTTGTCTTGAGGAATACAAGGCACACACACATACATATTGTCTTAGCAAGAAAAAGGAATTCAAATGAATAATCCACATTGTCCATTTCACATTACCCGTTTTTATACCTTTTGTTCCTCTCCCACCTGTCATCACATTGCCTCTCGCCTGTCACCGCTATCTTTTCTAGTTCCTCTCCATTGGTTCATTTTCCCCAAGTCTATACCAACCTCTGCTTTTTTGTGAGTGCAGGTCCAGAATTGATTGCCTCACATTTCAGCAAGTGTTCTCCACCGGGAAACAAAATATCCCCTCATTTATCTCCACCGCAAGCTGCAGTGGCACTCGGCGAGTGAGCAGCCGCCTTATAAACACCCTGTAGCCGAAAGCACAACATCACTATAAATATTCGCCAGCTTCAATTCTTTCTCTCTCTCTCTTTCTCTCTCTCCCTCTCTCTTTCTCTCTCTCTCTCTCTCCCTGTCATACTGCATCACCAGCAGCCACGAGTAAAGGCTTTCACTGTAAATAAGATGGCAGCGGCAGAGGCATTGTAAATTGTCTTCTCAAGGTTAAGTCTGAGTGCTTTATCTAGATCTGTTCATTGTATTCTGTGCAGATGTAAGGAGATGCTCTTGAAGTGTAACACTCTAAAGAATACTGTGCTGTTTTAAGAAATTTGAGGACACAAATATGGTCTCGGCCAAATGTTGGGTTACAAATGTGATACCACTTTCATTTGAGGACCAAATTCTCACTGGCTCTTTGTAGCATATTACTACCATATGTGACGCTGGACCATAAATTCATGAGTTGGTCAAGTGTGTACTATATTTTGAAGTTGGAAATTTAAAATGTATACATGACCTGAAAGCTGTTTGAATAAGCTTTACAATAATGTATATGTTTTTTTTAGGCTATGATATTATTTGGCTGTGACAAAACTGTTAAAAATCTGTTATCAGAGGGTTCAAATTATATAAATACAGAGAAAATTGTGTTTAAAGTTGTCCAAATGATGTGCTTATCAATATACATTACTAATCAAAGTTTTTCATATTTTTATAGTTGGAAATTTGCAAAATACCCTTATGGAACAGGATCTTTTGTAATGATTTTTGGCATAAAAGAAACTATTTTAACCCATATAATGTATTTTTAACAATTTATGCAAATATACATGTGCATTATATAAACTCACCGGCCACTTTATTAGGTACACATTGCTAGTATCGGGTTGGACCCCCTTTTGCCTTCAGAACTGCCTTCACGGCATAGATTCAACAAGGGACTGGAAATATTCCCAGGTTTTGGTCCATATTGAAATGATAGCATCACACAGTTGCCGCAGATTTGTCGGCTGCACATACATGATGTAAATCTCCCGTTTCACCACATCCCAGTAGTGCTCTATTGGATTGCTCTATTGAATTGAGTACAGTGAACTCATTGTCATGTTCAAGAAACCAGTCTGAGATGATTTGCACATTATGACGCATTTCCTATTCTTAGCCGACAGTTGTGTCACTCAGTGGGGTCTTCTGTTGCTGTTGCCCATCCTCCTAAAGGTTAGATGTGTTGTGTGTTTAGAGATGCTCTTCTGCATACCTCGGTTGAAACGAGTTGCCTTTCTATCAGCTCAAACCAGTCTGGCCATTCTCCTCTGACCTCTGGCATCAACAAGGTATTTGCATTCACAGAACTGCTGCTTACCTGTATATTTTCGGACCATTCTCTGTAAACCCTAGAGATGGTTGTGCGTGAAAATCCCAGTAGATCAGCAGTTTCTGAAATACTCAGACAAGCCCGTTTGTCACCAACAACTATGCCATGTTGAAAGTCACTTAAATTGCCTTTCTTCCCCATTCTGATGCTCAGTTTGAACTGCAGCAGAACGTCTTGACCATGTGTACATGTCTAAATTGAGTTGCTGCCATGTAATTGGCTGATTAGAAATTTGCGTTTCCTAGCAGTTGGACAGGTGTACCTAATAAAAAGGCCGGTGAGTGTATAAGACTTAATATGGGTCACATATGACTGTTTATTGACCAACACCCTTTCTAACTATAATAAGCAGCAAATGAGAAGTTCATGGAAGCAAAGTATGTTGTTATTTAATAGTGAGAATGGGTCGTGACCAAATATGGTATTGAAAATTTTAACCCAACAGCTGAGTTGGCCCATTTTTGACACAGAATTGGGTTGGCTTTTTAAATATGCATTGTGATTTTATTACTTGTTATATTTCTGTGCGTTTTAATTGTTTCAGTGCCTCCAACGGAAGGCACATGGGTAGCCTGATGGCCTCTAACTGCATTATGCTCCACATAATTTTGATTATAATATCTCTGTCTTAGTCACTGCTGCATATCACTGTTTGACCATATTAGGCTGTCCGCCTACATTTTTCAGACATCCATGTGCCTAAACAGTCATATGATATATTTCACTTGTGATCTGGAGGGCAGCATGACAAAAATTACGGTTGAGAG